ACCTAAAAAATAATTATATGTGACCAAATGTTTAACTCTTATCACCAATGGCGACCATGATTCGTGCCTGTTGGTCACCAACTCGTCAGTCATATTTCATGAAAGATCGCGCTCCAGTTTTCTTCTACATGCAGCGAGCAATGTGTCTCTATGCACATAGTTCTTTCTCCATCTTACTTAATGTACACAGCGTGAGCCCAGGTTAACTACAACATACCTTACATGCAGGTACCCATACACGCACATACATGTACAGGTACTACATGTACCTGTAGGTACCTGAGTCGACTGGTTTGTGGTCACACGCTGTATAGAGTGTGTATGGGGAGCTGACACGTTTCACATGTTCTTAATGCATTTGCAGTCTATGCATGCCACAATTCCAGCCCAACAAACTTGTTTCAGTCCGAAATGTATTTGAACTTCAAAACCAAAGCTTCCCTTGGTCCAGTCCAGTCCCAGGTACGAAATACTCAAATGTACATGTAAGAGAACAAACATGCTTTGTCTTTTCTTTCAGTTTTTTTCATTGGTTGCCATTTTTGGTTGATTCCACAAGCACAAAATCCAAAGCCTATCTGTCCTGCGGACAATTGACAGAACAATGTTTCTGTGTGTTTTGTGAATTTTTTTACATGTAACTTGTGTATTTTGCAACTGTCAATCACTGTGTGTGCAATATAGTACATGTATGTACAAAAACTGACCTGGCGCCTAACTTTTGTTTTGTAGGAGCCAGTGACTCCTCTTTTCAATATTATCCATACAGCACTGGGTTCAAGGCTTCCGTAATTTGGTTAACCCTAACCCCCTCAGCATTTTTTCTAGAAGGCTGACTGAACCTATCAAATTCCAACACCTTTTTGCTGCTGGAGGAGGTTATCGTTATGTACTCAACCAGCCAGATTCCAACAGTCCACTTGTTGTATCAGTATTGTGTCCAACAAGCAGTAAACTGCTGGTTTGGCTGAGAGGGATACTTGGTCATATACTACATGTATGTCCATGTATAAGAAATGTACTCAATCCGTCAAGATCTAAAAACTGCAGGGCTATACAAAATTGTATTTTGGGAAAGGGGCTCAGATTTCTTTGTTTATCTTTAACTTCTTTTGGAAAAAAGCAAGGTCACCAACCACTCTAGAGTAAGTTATTGTATTCCTTAAGTACAGGTATATGTACATGACCACATGACCCCCCCCCGACATTTCTCTGTTGTGAATAGTTCAGGAGTATCATGCAAGAAGGAAGCCATATAAATGAGAATGGAAAGTTTTTGTTTGTGCCTTTTAGTTGGGTACTTTGATGTCATTGTACATATGCAATGCAGTAAAAGTTGACTTGTACCGAAACGCATTCGTGTCCAGGTGTGTGTGCGTGTATGCCATGCCCCAAATCCGGACATCTCATTTTTGATCGCTGTCTTACATGCCCTACTCGGTGCGGAAATTTGAATCCGCTTGAAAAACGAACTTCATTTCAGACAAATGGCTCTCGATCTTGAAGAAATAACCAACGGAAACAAACATTTCATCAGTCTTCCAGACAATATCACCATTGACCTGAAGGGAATTTGACAAAAGTGTGAAAATTGGGCACTAAGTATTACCACAGTAGTTGAAAAACACGGAAATGACAAAAATGGGTCCCAATGAAGTGAATTTAAAAGAAAGGAAAGTTTTTTTGCCCAGAAGTAATAAACTACATGTATTTTGATCACAGCTAAGACTTGAAGCTATGCATTGTTGGAAGTACTAAATTAGGTTAGGCTTGCGGTTGCATCATGCACAAGAAAATATCTCTTATGTGTATGTGGTTCTGAGAAGAATTGATGATGAACACTCAACGTTCCGAACAGTATACCTTTGAGTCCATAGAATTCACCATCAAGCAAGCTGTTCTGCTCCAGTGCGCCCTTAGCATCCTCTCCATTGCTTAAAACCAGCATCCTCAGAGCCTGGCAACCAGTCAACCTCCTAAAGATGAACAGAGCATACTGTTCAGAACATCAAGTGTTCACCATCGGTTCTTCTCAGAACCACACACTAATCTTTCTTGTGGCATCTAAGTTACTGGTAGTTGAAGGTAAACCCGGCCAAATTGTGAAAATTAGAAACAAAGCTACATGTAGGTAAAAATGATATTTTTTTTCATAAATCCTTTGTCGTAAAATTGACATTTTCCATTTCTTTGATTATTTTCCGGAGATCTGTCTTACCAGAAGCTATCAAATACTACCATTTGGTGGATTCAATTGCAATTTGTTCAAACATGAGGTCTTCAAAGGAAATAGCAAGACAAATCCCTCACGTGGATCACTCCCGATATGCGTTGTCTGCTAGCCTGAGTTTTCAAGCCGGGGAGCATACATGTATGTTACTATTGCACATGCCCAAATACACAAACATGACAAACTACATGTACATGTAAATGCACGCACAGTGGGGACTGAACATGCGTGCTAGCAGTAAGTGCTGGGCAATACCAACCATACCCATTAATCAAATTCCAACAGTGTTACTGCATCAGTACAATACTCATCCCATCATAACTCATAACCCAACACTTTGTGTAGTAAGTTTCATATGTACACAGAACTCAACCCGCCAAATTTCAACAAACTCTGTTGTATAAAATTGATGGGATGGGGAACGTTAGGGTTGATTTAAGAAAAATTATCCTTGAACGGAAAAGATTAACAGAGTATTTTGCCTGAATGACATGCTGGGCATATTTTGGTCAAAAAATCTTAACTCAATGAGATACAACTTTTTGAATAAGCACACTGCGGAGGCCCATGTCTAAGTATGTTCGATGATAAATCTCAAAAAGTCACAAATTTTGGCCTTGAAAATCCCAAATCCTCTTGAGTTTGAACAAAGAGTTAGGAATAAACGTGTTTGAGTGAAATTTCCCTCATCTGCCTGAAGCCATTTTTTTTGATGCAAGCAGTATCTCAATTACTGGCAAATGGTCCTCATTACAGGCTGCCATAGCCATGCTAGCTTCCAACCCTTCAGAGGATGCAGACAATCTAGAATTTTTTGGTCAGTGTCCGTGGAGGCTGGGTCACCAGAGCATTGACCCACCGGATCCTCAGATGGAGAGAGAAGGCTTTCTTGCCCTGCCGTAATCTGGAGTCACAGGTGGATCACTTGGTGAGTACCAATACGTGCTTTATCTTGAGTCACAGGTTGACCACTCGATGAGTAACAAATACATATACATGTAGGTGCTTTAATCTGGAGTCACAGGTTGACTAGTTGACTCTTCTCAAACTCCTGTGACTTGAGGCATTGTGGCCAAAGTTATATTAATGCTGTGATGAGCTTCAGCCACCCAGCTCATTTCTGGGCAGCATGGACGGCCTTGTTGTGTTGAAGGCCAATCTTGTTTCAGTAAGATTTTAATTTTTTATCTTATAAAGTTCAATTTGTGAACTTGTATTGTATTTTACAAGTCGTCACAATATGAGTTTTGCCAGTGCAGATGTATTTCAAAGAGATGGTTTTTGTAATAATCCTTTGAATTAGTTATCTTCATAGAGGATAATCCCGAACACAAATAATACCAATATAGTGTAACAGGTAGCACCGTTACATTTTATTTACCCTATCATTTTTTGGGCAAACTTTTTGAGTATGAATTACCAATGAGGCTATTGACAGTGTGATAAAAATGCCAATGTGGCATGGAATTGCCCTGAAGTTAAATTTCATTCGCTAGATAAAGTGGATGTTTTGGAACCTGACACATTTGTACATGTAGTGTTGCCTTTTCAATATTGGTTTTGGGTGTGTGTTTTATTATATAACTCTTTCTGAATGTTATTTTTTAAATAAAGGCAGCAAGATATTGAAAGTTTGGATGTGTGTAAAATCAATTTGCCAGAACCTGAGCCAGGCTGTTCACCAGATGCCATGGAGCAAACACGCCAATGCTGGAAGACAATGTCTAGTTGCAGAGCACCCCTAAGGCGTTCCGAGTGAAAAACCTGGTGCCCCTTGTCGAACGCAAGTCTCGTTTTACTAGCCTTTGTTTCGCTGCTGATTAGCCAGTCATTTTTCTGAGGTACATCTTAATATTTTGAATACAACTCTTAAAGCTGTGAAACTAACCCATTAACTTATTTCTGACCCCATAGGTTATATGCCAAACTATATTAAAATCAGAAATTCAAAACCCAGATACTGGGGTACCTGCCGGTCAATATCAAAACCTGGTTCCATTTTTTTCAGCCTGGGTACCTGTTGAAAAATGATAGAAATCTTTGTATAGAATGTATGTGAACTTTCATTGTGAAGGGCAGAATTGCTGAAAAATCACCATACCACTGAAAAACCCTGTCCCGCTGTCATAACTGTGGTTCAGAGATCACACACCCCACTCATTGTAAAGCAAACAAATTTCATATTCTGAGGTGGCCTCATCGTCGATGTACATAAAAAGAGCCCTGTTTCGGGCACATGGTCTGCCGAGATTGCATGCAATGGCATTTGTTTTTTTGGGTTTTTTTTTCATATTTAAGGGCACCCAGTGTTCTCATCAAACGGGTACCAAGTTCCCAAAATACCTTTGTCATACCCCTGTTGTCATGTACAAGTAGGTGGTATTGAAAAAATGGACATTTGGAGAGTGGTGACCTTGTGGATGAACATTATTTGCATCGACCATAACCAGTTAACACCCATTGTGGTTTTTATCCAACAAAGACCCACATCAAGTCTGCCAAATTCCATCACACCATGGTTGCTGGTCTCACTTTGCTTACTGTTCAGAGCAAAAAGCTACACTCTTGTCAAAACTGGTCTTCCACAGTATGTACATGTACATAGCAGTTTAGTTTTAACACCGTCATCATTTTTCTATCTGCTTTGTGCCCAGGCCCTCTTGCCAGTTCTCCATTCAATTCTCCAAACTGGCCATGTAGTTGAGTAACCAGGCTTACAATGCCTAATGCATCATCACTGATGGACAACCTCTGACCCATGTCGAGGGCTTGGCCCCAGCAATTGATTCAGAGTCCCACGGCAATGTTTATCCCATGCTAGGCAAAGTTAAAATGCATGTTCAAGCTTGCTGTCGAATGCTGGAGGTAATGTAAGATTTAAAAGAATATAGTATATGTAGAACCTAATTTCAAAGTTAAGGTTCTGATTTCATGTTCAGATTAACACATGGGAAAAATACCAAAAGTACATGTATGTCATGGATTAAATGTTGTAAATCATGAATGAGACTTAAAGATTTGTTTTTGTAGAGAGTCTACCGCAGCTGGCACATTTTGCCAAAGAATCTTGTATATTGCCACCATTTTCACAAAGTTGACATGTTAATTACTACAAGCTACACTTTTTGAGATAATTGTAAGAGAAGTTTCTCTCATTTGAAAACTGTAAAAAGTAATGCTTTTTAACAACTGTCTGTAGTCAAAAATGATTTTGCATATTTTAGGGGCATTTTGCATATATACGGATTGACACAAGAGGATGACTTGGGACAAAGTTGTACTGTAGTTGATGCAGTTTATTCGGCTTGCTCGATGTGTGGCTCTCTGCCTGATTGCTAGGGATTTTATACATTTGCTGGACATTCCATTTTTCATCCATCATACAAGTTTCCTTGCCTTATTAGGTATTGGCTACTAGTCTTTGAATATTAATACACTGTGCATGAATATGTTTGGTTCATTTGGATTTGAGGGTAGGGCTAGTCAAATTAATGAACACTGACTTTTCCTTCTAAGGCCGGTGGGCTGCCTCATGGCCCATCTGGTCCAGGCCCTGCTTTCCTCCCCAAGGGCCTTGTGGTTCAACTAGTGATTCCTTAAGTGAGTCTCATTACTTTTAAAGCAGTTCTACTCTTGTAGGTCAATCCATGCTACTTAAGTAGCAATACAACATGTGCTATTGTAACATGGTGATAATAGTCTGAAGTGCCCGGTTAAATACAAGGTTGTTTTATACAAAAATTACCGATAGGTTTTCTGTCAATTACTTGGTGCTGATATTTTCTGATCCCCAACTGAATAAAATAACAGTAGAAAGGGTCACAACTTAGGGTAATAACTCATCTTGTCATGACACCAGAGCGAGCGTTTTTGTTACAACAACTCCTTTTCTGTGTTAGTATGATAAAGTAAAGTTTCCCATTAGAAATACGCTCAGGTCATATGGAACATCTGCATGGCAAATTACTAGCAAATGTACATATAAAAAGAGAGCTTCTTTTCAGGCTCACTTTGATGTTGGTTTGTGGAAATATTGTCTGAACCCACATGGGACATTTGAAGATGATACTGGATAAGATAAACAATCTCAATAAGGTAAATTGCATACTGAGCAGCTCTTTAAATGATGTCCTCTTCCGATAGTCATCCTGCAGTTCCTCTTCAGCGTAACCTCCCCCTATATTTACTGACATGTCACTGAAGTTAATGTTCCCCCATCGCTGAAGATGATGATCTCCTTATTTAGGAATCTAGAATGATACTATAACTTAAAAGAAAGTTATAGACAAAACTGAAGACTTTTCAATGTGCCATCTTTATGTTTCTTTTCATATGTGCCAGTGCTGAGTCTGTCAAATAAAAACCTGAGTGGAGCTAATAGAAACAGGAAGGTTGGTGCATCAACAAAGAGGGGAACATATTGTTCCGTAGTAGGTTCAGTATACCAGAATAATATAATAATACAAAGCTCTTCTCACTTGGCTCTTAAGAGCTGTTTTGGTTTATTAATACATGTAGTACAGGACAGACTATTTGAAGCATCACAGTAGTAGTCTGATGTCCGAAAAGTTTTGTCACGGACAACAGCTTTGCATTCAGTCTGGGTACAACAAAAACGATACTTCCTTTTCCTTTGGAAAGTACTGATGACTAACAAGACATAAATAAAAAGCTAGATATTTCACAGTGCTTGAATAAACCTCAGTTTGTCCATCTGATGTCAATGACTTATTCATCAAATTTATGGCATGGCTGTCCTGTGTAATCTTTAATAAAGGGTGGATTCCACCCCCCTTTCAACATTTGTCCTGATATCACTGCAGTGCATTTTTTTAGAGTAACTCTTTGTAGTTACTTTGACACCAATATTGTAAAAATAAGACATACTGTTCTTGCGCAGCACACACTTTTCTGAGACAGGTCATCAAACACTGTACACTTTTTACAACAGTACTTAATGCACACAGACTGGCGCACGTGTAGCCTTGAAGTTCAAATGACGTTATCAACAAAACTGTACGTCTAATGTAGTTCAGAGACAAGACCTGCTACCTATCCGCGATATGCGCTCTTTTGCAAGCTGCCGTCATAGGCATGCAGAGCCTCAATCTGGCAGCTTTACACAATGATTCCCCTGTATGTAGCTTCGTAATTTTGGGCATGTTTCAAAGTACGGGGTGGGGGAGTTGTTAGACCCTCAGGCATCAGCCATCAATAGGCGGTTCTATGAAGCCCCACCCACGGACGAAGATAAAAAAAAATGGACTTGCAACGACTTTGTGTGAAATAGGAGCCATCCAGCGGCCATATTACTGAGCCGAAAACATAGGCGGGGTTAGCTCGCTTCTGTAGACGCCAGGGGGGACAAAGGCGGGCATTGCCGGGCAAGCTTTGTGTTCGGCTCAGTAAAATGGCCGCTAGTGGATTCAATGATCTCTGTAAGCTGATATATCCGTAGCCCCATGATCCCATTATAGGCCCTGCTCATAAGCTTGGGGGGGGGGGTGATCGAGTCCCCAGCCAAAGGAGTGTTAGGGGGCCCTACCCCCCCCCCTTCCGCGGTCAGTGGATCTATCCTTCCCATGCCCCATGGTTAGGCCTGGGGTCCGGGCGACGAAAAAAGCACCCGAAAAGGTCGGTGGGAAGCTGATGGCTTTGCACCGTGTGCTGGCTACTTCGAACACGACCTCCAGAAGCGAGTTTGGTATATTTGAAGATCGTCTCTACATAGTATGTTAAAGTGTCGGCTTATATGAGAAACACATGTCCTTGGTGCAATCACGGTAATATATCTTCTATCATTGATCAAAAATTATCATTGATTACGAGTCTTTTGGCGAACCATTGGTTATCCTGATCAATTTTGGATGAACTAATAAAATGTAGTTAGAATATTTTCAGCAATGAGAAAGAAAACGACAAAATATTGACTTTATAACGCCACATTTCGCTCGCTCGCGGCCAGGATAAGATTTATCCGCAAATGTTCTGCACGTCGTTTGGTGACCGCGTGTGACGTATATTATAACCTCCACTAAAATCTGTGCAGGCCATCAGCCCTTCCCCGGCCCAGTTCGCAGGCGACGAGCGAAAAAGCGACCCTGCCATCGTACCCAAATCTAGACAATACGGCGGGTAGGACAAAACAATTTGAGCAACATGCGATGGAAATCGAAGTCCTGGGGACAAGTGCAGGGCAAAAGGGCCTTAACTACAGGGCAATGAGCCATGCTAACGTGGCGTGGGCGGGAGGGAAAGTAGCAACCTAGCTTTTGCCATAAGTAGTGGGGACGAGCGAATTTTAAGCGCCAGCGTGAATCATGTGACTGCGGATTTCTGAATTAATCAGTCATGCGTGTTGTCAGTGTTCGCATTTTAACTGTAGGCCGCACCGGTGCGGTGCGCTATTAGTTTTTATGGTTTTTATCATTTTTATCGATTTTTTTATTCACATTGTGTTCTTAATAGCGACTTTTTATATTGTTAACGTCAAGAAACGTGGACGAAGCTGCGCTAACAGGGCCGAGTGTCAATGAAGGTATGGACAGGTTTGGCCAGGCTTG